TATACAACTTCAAACCTTCATTTTCTCTACTTTTTCTTACTTTGTGTTATTCTATTTACTTATACATAGTATTGTACATAATGAATTCTATGTTAGTTGTTAGTTTTTTTATTTCTGTCTGTTTTATGTCAATTGTTAGTTTTCCAATTATATTTATTACATGGCTATTACACTAATTATTATTTTTTTTTGGTTAGTTAGTAAATTGACCCATAATTTTATACTCCCTCCGTTACATGAAGATTGATGTTTTGGCTTTTTCACACAAATTAAAAATTATTAGTTGTAAGTTATTAATGCATTACTTTTTTTAATATTAACTATTTTTCAATACATATTAACCAATAATAATTCGGAATTTAAATACTTTTAATTAATGTTTCTTGAAGTTTGCAGAAAGTATCATTTAATAATCTAAAACACAAAACATCAATCTTCATGGAACCGGAGGGAATATATTAATAAAATTATTCACAAAAGTTATATAGAAAATTACTGTATAATTCTTATAAATTTAGACGAAAAATGTTACAAAGTTTTCTACTAAATCTGATGAGCTGGGAAAATGCAAAGAACGTTAATTTACGTAATTTTTTTTTTAGTCAAAGGGTAAAGGTATTTTAGTACAGTATGTTGGAGCTTTTGCTATATATAACCGTTCAATCTCCCTCTTTCCCACTCTTCAAAGGCCGAACCGTTTACTCTTAAATATAAAATCCGAAATCAACCGACTAACCGCATTTGATGCTAGATACAGGATATACAGTATATATACACCTTTATAAATTAATGATACTGTAAAATGCTAAAAGTTTATCTGATTTTGATTTACAAGATTGTATGATGATTGCACATGTATAAACATATCTATTCGATTTCAGAGTGGACGTAATCTCTGAACACAAAGTTCTTCTCTTTTTCATGTAAAGCATATGCAGAAGCAGCTGAAATCAGGGCTAAACCAGCCAAAACCAGCCGAATCTGAACATCAGCAGGAACACCGGCTGTGGCAGCACAGAAAATCGTCGCGCCAATGAGAAACTTCTTGGCGATTTGGAAGCCGTTATAAGCTCCTTTACAGGACGAACACACTTGTGTATGCTGCTCAAATCTATCCAGCATCTGTTTTCGTTCAAATTCCACATTTTCAGACATGTGTATGTTTGTATATATTGAGATCAATGATGTTGATTGATGTGATGGCTCACCTGGCGCTTAGTTAAGACAGTGGAAGGCAGAGGTCGGCTAGTTGCGGTGGAGCCGAACCACTCGGGCTGACTCTTGCCATGCCGTCTGAGCCAATTTCTGAAGGCTAGAACAAAACGGTCTGCTTGGGTTGGAGTGAATGTGAGCTTTGTGTATTGTTTGTTCACGTCATAGTCCGGTGACTCCATCGATTTAGAGAGAAATACTTTCTCTTGTCCCTGAAGTACGATCATGTCTCCGTCATAGACCAAGTTCGACGTCCAGTGTTCATACCATCTCGGTACAACCTAACAAGGAACATCATCAGAAGAAAAATATATGCCGAAAAATCGGATTGTAGATGGATTCAAAGTTTGTTTTACCTGCCACCAAGCAGGTCCTGGTACAGAGAATTGGAAGAAGTTACGGGCGCTGCAAACGATGGAGCGGGTCTTTCCTGGAGCCATTGGTATATTGAATGAGCAAATCCATATCACCCATTTCTGATTACCAACGATTGGTAACTTTGCATCTATCTCAATTCTGTGGACAAACATAGACAGTCCTATTAAGTTCGGTAGCTAAGTTAATTATTTATGTAATGTGGGGGGAAACCCAAGACTCACTTGTTAACAGAATAGCACGGAGCAACAAATTTTGCGGTTATCCTTGGACTATCGTCATTTGCACCTTGGAAACCCCAAGGCCCACTTGACTCAACCTTGAAGGGCAATGGTTTGGCTCTGTCTCTTCTTCCTGTAACCTGTTTACAATATGAAAATATCGGCTGAGGATAATTTCCCTTGGCGGAAATGCAAACACATCGAAAAGCTTTATAGAGAAAAACACCTTGTGATGAGCAAAATCGATATGGGAAGGATCAGATACGTTTTCCATGAGAGTATCGTATCCATAGAAAAGATCCCTTTGAATAGTCACCGTTGAAAATTCAGGTTTATCAAAATCATCCGGCAACCTAAAATGATAAAGATCAAAGCTTTTTAAGTAAGGTCTGACAGTAAAACAAATATGCAATGTTCAGATAATGATTTCGCATGTTACCTAGGGGGTTCGATTGAATTGGCTCTGTCCCAGCCATTCTCATCAGGCCACACAAAGAGAAGACCTTGAGACACCATTGTTGGGAACTTAATAGCACAAGCTCTCGGGGATTTAACAGCACGAGCTTCAGGACCTGAAGTAGCAGCCTGAGGAATCCTAGTACAAGATCCACACCCGGCAAAGGACCATCCATGATACGAACATTGCAAATGTCCATTCTCGTCCAGCCTTCCTTCCTATAACACCGCAATGCATCAACACATACAGGACACACATCTATTTCTATATATACATTACAATATAAGGTAAGCTCCACTTATTTGACAGCCAAAAGCTAGAAAAACGTCACATATGACTGTTCTGATTCTGATCCTAATATTTTACTCTGAACATGCTCGTAGCTGACCATTATAATATTGAAAAACTTTAAAAATCTATGCTTTAACATAGTACCAATAAACAATCATCATCTGCAATAATTTAATCATCTGATTCAAATCACAGTACCGAATTAAACTGCTTATTCCA